GTTGTTTTCAAGTATTATCAGTGACATGTATTTGTAGTATGGTGTCTTATATGTTATGAAATTATGTTTAAGAGCTAATTTTTGATGTATGATTTTAGCCTGATCGTGTCGATGTTTGTATTTTGTTTGTGCATGTCGATATTATATGTTGGATTGTTTCTGATGTTTGTGAACAGAGTCGACAAGAATCACTTATCTTTATTAATGTGTTTTTTTATAGTTGCGTGTATTAATGGCCTGGTCTTGTATTGCTAACATGAAACCCTCAGTCTCCGGGAAGATATCACATTCAGACAACCAAGTGTGCGTTGCTATAGAGTCAACACAATCCTGGCTAACCTCTTGTGGAAATCGTCCATGTAAAGGCTTTTGGTTCCATGTCTGTATGTTATTTGTGATGTATGTAAGTTTGGATGTGGGTGAGAGTCAAGGTGGGAGTATATTAGTTTCGTGTAGGTTATTATTATTATGTACTATTATTATTATTAATTAACAAAACAATTGCCCACTATTAAGTAAGTACCGATTGCGGCCGAGTACGGTACAATCAACACTTGACGCGACACCACTGTGTCGAGAGAGAAGTATTTTCAGATGTAGGTACATCGGCAAGAGAAGTATTGTCAAATGGATTCCAGTCCTAGCGTGGGTGTGTGTTTTATACGTAAGGAGACTTTCAGTGAAGGTGAAGTGAATCAGATATATGCGCACAGTGCTTGTCAGATAAAATACAACAATCCGAAGCTGATCAAAGCAGCTGTTTGCCGGGGAGAATCAAAGGTTAAGCCATCAAGGGCCACAAAATCAGTCTCTGGGAATTCAATTTCAGTGTTTCACTGTTGTCTATGCGGAGACAAAATACGGAAGAGTTCCTTGTGACAGAAAGGAAAAAGAAACCAGAAAAAAGGAACAATGCCATTACTGCGGAAAAAATGACTCTGAATGCAACAATCTTGAGTAGCTGAGAAACGAAGCGATGAATGGGCTCTTAAAATAAAAGTGTATTTCTGAGAACACGTAACTTTTTGATGTGAGATCATCGGTGTTGTCTACAAGGTACAACCATCAGGAAAGTCCAGAGAAAATCGTCAGCATCCCGCAGTTAATGAGGCCCTGAAAGTAATCTATTCATTTCTGGAAGAGAATGCTGAGGAGTGTAAGTTCTCTCTAGATGAACTCATGGACCAGATGGAAGGAGAATGACCTCAACAACGAACAGTCAGTAAAAAATCACTTGTTTGAAAAGTGTGGAGACAACATTTTGATCGTGGAGACATCCTCCAAACACACGACTGATTGTTTTAAAAACACATGCTTCAAAATTCTTACCACTACATGGTACGAGATTTCAGTTTAGTAGCCCAGATCCTCAATCAGAAAGACTGCACGTGGTGAAGGTAGCTGCTGAAATCGAAAGGGACATACAGTCGCAAGTGTATGTCACAAAACAATTCACACCACCCGACGATTTCTTCCAGAATGTTAATTCAGTGATCCCATATTCTTTGAAACCATTTCTGGAAACAGTAATTTTAAAAGACAAAACGAGGCCACTTGGATAGTTGAATCCCTATAGAAAAAAGTGTGTTGCTCTTGCACATTCAATTCCCAATATTCTTTTGGTAAGTGTAATTAGATTCTAAAGGTGCAACCGAATTTTTATTACCTACTGTCATCCAAAATGTGTGAGACTGTAAACCCCTAAAAATGAATTATGGGCGTGAAGCATTCATTCATTTTATACGTTTTTGACAAGCACTTATTAAGCGACACTTAAATAATAATAAATTAAAAAGTGGAACATGCAATAAACATTTCGAAGTCAATAAATTAAAAGTTTAACACAGTTACACAAACGCGTAGGTGTATTTTGTATCAAAAAAATGGAGAAGAAACTCCGTTATTTCGCCAGGTATCGAAAACAAGACACATTCTATTACAACGTTGTTTCTTTTTGTCTTGAAGTCTAAAAATAAACAAATACGTGTGCCAACAAACTGCTTGTTTACATTCTGATATGCAGGCGAATGCACAGTGGAAACTCGCCCGTCATTTTAATACTCCGTTTGCAAAGAAAAAAGGAAAATTTTCTTGGCTCGTAATACGGAGGAACACGTAAACAGGTCAACGGACCTAAACTACAAGGTCACTTGGACGCACCGGCTAACTTGGCACCATCGTTTCACCACGTGGAATTTTGACATTTAATGGTTATCTTTTTCATGTAGGTAAAATTATACCAGTGTCGATGTCTGAGGGTATTATTAATAATTACGTTCAGTTACAAAGTATGCTTCAGATAGCAGAGGAAATGTGTACTTCCATTACGACGGCACGTGCTGTGAAAAAATAAACAAGAAAAAAGTTAACGCCGCACGTTTTTATTCATACGAACCACAAATATTCAGACGAGATAAATTAAGTATAGCGTCAATCGGGCACTACTCCAGTTCGATTAATTTTTTCCTCGTCGAAAGTCGCCCGAACACCCGGTGGAGGAACCAAAACGAACCAGTTATCGATTAAGGGGTGGCAGTACAAACAGGAAAATGCTACGAAAAGCCAACCAAATACAGGCGCGGTCTTCGGCGGAATTTAAATGAAAATACTTAAAGCTAACGCAGATTTTGTCGGAGGGGAGTACGTATTTAACACTAAGTATTTAAAATATTATTAGTGTTCCAAGCGTAGTACTTTCAGTTTCGCCATTGATTCTGGAGTTGGTAGTGAATTTTTTGAGGTTGGCATTTTTTTTCGCTTTAATCGCTACGTTGTAAACTCAAAAATGATTTTTATTGCTGATACTTTAAGAAATTAGGGCCGAACATAGTTTAATTTTGTTAAACGAAATAATTGTAGTGCCTATATTTTCAGATTGCTTATTACTTGTTCATTTTTTACCCCTAAAGGGTGCTTAACTTCGCTTTTAGGATGTACTATTTCAAATTCGTTGAAAAATGTGATTATGTGTACTATTCAGTGTTAATTGAGACGTTTTTTTTAGCGTAACCAAAGAGTATATAACGTAATACTCTTTGACGTAACACAACGAAGTTGAGGTTACGGGTGCTCGATTTTCCGTCGTCTGTTCGCCTGTCTATCGTATGTCTGTTCTATCGAGATCTCGGCCCCTGCTTCCTGTTGATAGCGTCTCCCCCTTGGTTCCCGATGCTTCCATCCATTGATCTCGATTCTTTCTTTCTTGTTTCTTCCTTCTTTATTGTTGTCATCTCCCAGCTTCCCGTTCTGTCTCCTCCTCCTCCTTCCCTTGGCTGCCTTTACTTCCGTCTGATTCTTCCTGCACCTCCAGTAGTGGGTTGTTTTCTTTCTTCAGTTTGTGTTTGCCACACTTTTCCCATCTCTCTATGGGAACCTCTGAGACCGCCACACCGTTTGGTCTGTAGTGGTGTTCAATGTGAAGCAGGGCCGGTCTACTTTCCATTCCGGAGCACGTAGATTCTTGGCCACTTGCAGGATATGATCTTTGTTTCCTCCTGTTTATGTGCCCCCAATATCGCAGCTGCCTCATCTTCAGTCTCCTGGTGATTTTCCTCCTGGTAATTATCTGCTTATCTGCTTTCTTGTGAGGTTGTTTTCCATCAGTGTCCTTAGTGTCTTCCGTTCCGCCCTCCTCATTGTTTGCCTGTTGCTCTTTGTTAGCGCTGAGGTGTTTATCTTATATTTCGAAACTTCATTTATAGCGCATTTCCAAAAAAATAAATAATGCGCCATTGTGGCCACTTTGTTCGTCCGTCCGTCTATATGTCTGTCCCTACGGCTGTGTCGCTACTAGATCGTTTTTATATCATAAGAGCCAATTTCCTTAGAAAACTTTTCCGGTGACATTCCTAATTCCTTCTATAGCGGAATTATAAGATTACTCAGTAATTGGATTGTTTATGCGCATGCCCACAACCTTCTTAGTTCCAAGGGGATGAATTTTTTGACTAGAGCAACTATGTTTTTTGTTTTGAAAAAAGGCAATGTAGAAATCCGTTTTGTAAATCGTTTACGCGATTACATTTGAAACTTGTTTAACTTATTTATCCCTGAAGATAAGCTTAATTTATGATAATCTTTCGGGGAAAATTATAGACACTTCACGTCTCATTTTGCACTATTTTTTACCATGTACCAGTGATGGCATAAAGTCCGTTGAGTACCTACCATAACTTCTAAGACTATAAAATGGTTGAAACGAAGTTAAGATCTCGGTTAAGATTATTTGGATTGATAAAGTATGGGTGATGTTGCAATTACCAGTTAATTCTTGCAAACGTAATGAAAAGTAGTTAGTCATTACGTTGAAGGGTGAGATTGTTGAGCAAATGGAAAGTATCAATCTGATTCAAAATGGCGTTGGTCAACTGGGATGAATTAAAATTGTGATTGTAAAACGTAACGCAATACGGATTTAATTTAAGTTACCGGTGCCAAACAGAGAAAAATGAGAATTACTCCTCGCCAACCGACCACGAAACAGCGATTACAAACAATAAACATTTTCAGTTTCATTGCCTAGAACGAGTTGGAAAAGAGCCAGCGAGGCACGTTTCTAGTTTTCGATTTCATCGCGCACACACACACCGAAAGGTGGGTAACAGCAGCAAAAAGGTAAACAGGAAGGACGTAATGAATAATCAGTTACGGTTTAGAAATTTTAAAACCGCGCATGGCTAGGGGAATCTCTGGTCTGTAGGAGACGAGCGAGAGAGAAACGAAAAGTTGCAGAGCAGCACAGGTAAAAATTATCGATTGTGGTACCCTCCGACGTCGTCCTTGAATCGCACATTCACCTGGCCGGCGCGCCCGCTACACTCTGGGTTAGTGGACCCGGACCCGTCTGTCGAAACATCAACGGTACCTTGGCTTGGCTGTTTCGTGGTTCCACTACTTGTTTACCTGCCATGATTTTAAAAGCGATATGAATTGCTTCGTATGATTTACTTTGAACGGCGGTCAGCTGATTGGTCTCTTCTTATCCTTTCGCATTGTTTTAAATGGCCGAGGACCGTTCCGCGCGTAAATTGGAGGCACGCACGAACGGGTTTTCCGAACGTTACGTAGGATTCACAGGTAATGGTATATGCAATGCAAATTGAATGGGTGCACCCTCAAAATTTGTTAGTTCTAATTCGTACATACATACGTATACGTTTAATGTCTAATTCCACTTCCGCCCACGAGTTTCCTGTTCTCTTCACGCAACAGTCTTTACTGATTGTGCAAATGTTGGAGAGTTTATTCATTTACACCATGAACTTGTAACTTGCTGTCCAAATACAACTTGCGCAATTCTATCATAGTCACTACTGTAGTCATGTATTCTAATTTAGCAACAATAGCAGTCGGAGAAATTTGGTAAATTCGGCCCGGAAAACCTAAACTAGGTTCAGTAACATTTATCTTCAGTACAACAATATACTCGGTTTCAGAACTCGATTAAAGTTTCAAGTTTCAAAAAAATGTGGGCGTTTAGGAACTTCTCAGAATTGTTTTACAATCTTCTTAAAGCTCTTGGAATCTTCTCTGAATCTGAGCCATCTTAGTATCTTTTCAGGATTTTGGAATTTTACAATCTTCTTAAAATCTTCTTGGATTTTTTTAGAATCTCCTCCGTATTTTATTACTTTCTTTTTAGAATCTTGTTGAAAGATTTCAGATTCTGTTTAGAATTACAATTACAAGCAGATTCTACAGAACCCTGGACAATTTTTTAAGAATTTTCTTAGGAGTGATTTTAAAGCTTGTTAGAATCTTCTTAGAATCCCCTAATTACTAATGATTACCTACTTATCTTGAATATTGTTTTCAAATTTCTAAATGGTAAGTTTTAATTTATTACTTTCATGTAATGCTTGTTAATAGATCTCTCCCTTTCCCTTCCCTTAGAGCCCCGTCATCCTGAGACATTTTTTTTGCAAAATTTGGAAGGAGCATGCTTATGGACATAACAAAAACGGTTACTTCCATCCTTGTAGGTGTTGTAATTGTTTAGAAAAAAATTGCATAGCCTCAATTGATTGACATTCATCAATCCAATCGACATTCTTAAGAGGCCGTTCTCTGAATACGACTAGGAAAGCGCTTTAATAGAAATTATATATGGGTATTTGAGTAAATTGGATTCTATCCCGTGTTGTTAGGTGCCGATGTAAAGATAAAGGACACCTCTATGCCTCTATTGTACAGATTTTTGATTTAATACTCGAATTTTGCATAAATAATTGTAGAAGTACTTGGTATTTATGGTATTTTCGGGTGCCGTAATTATTAATATTTAAAAAATATCAAAAATCTGTCATTTTTAGGGCCGCCCTATACCTATACATATATAAATAAATAAAATGTTTACTGTTCTCATATCACGAGAACTCTCTAGAAGGAGGTCTTAGACTTCGTTAGACTTAGGGTCTACTTGTACATAGTTATTTTGCTCTGCGTCCAAGTAAGATCTTTGGGGCCAAAGGTGATGACTGGATGACTTTCTGACTCCAAATTGAATTAGGTTTTTATGTGGAACAAGATTCAAAGCCCTAAGACTTTTATGTTCTAGAATCTAGAGGTATACAGTGAATTTTTTTTAAATGCGAACATAGGAGTTTGCATGCAATGTAATTTCCCTATGTTCAATTTAAAAAAAACACATCAATCTATGAGGGAAATTACATTCCATACAAAAGCGTATGCGCGCATTTTACAAAACTCACTGTGTATGATTGCGAATAAAATGGTTTGTTTATTCAACTAGTGCCGTAATAAAGCGATCCGAGGCCGAAAATAAGAATGTTATGTACCTAGTTTTTAAAGCGTTAGAATAACGTTTTTCGGTGATCAAATTCTAATGTGAAAGGTTCAATAATGATGTCTTGTGATTTTCAAATGAAATTATAACTTCCAATTTAATTTAAGTAAATTTAGAGATAATTTGATTTATTCTTTTTTTATTACACTCAAATTATTTATTTAATTCGGTTTTCTTTTGTTTCCAGTGGTGTGGCAGTATTGAGTTGCACAGATTGCAGTGGAAGCAGTACCGCATCGAGTGATATAACGGATCCGGGATCGCCATTCAGCACAGCGTCGAGTCATTCTGAAGATTCAGCATCACAGCCTGCCAAAATGCCTCCTACACAATCAGCGCACCATCCACCGTGGCCTTGGGTTAGAGGCGAAAGTCCACCTGTAAAAAGACACACTACGGATAAAGCCGCCTTTCCCAAAAGAATAAAGACGGATAACGAGAACGCATCGTTCAAGAAGGAAGATCAAAAGACAGTACAAAAGGAAAAGGAAGGAAACAAACTACCACCAGCATGTCTGAGTTCATTGTCTCATAATTCATTGCAAATGAAAAATGATAATAAATTAAGTAACGTCACGACTGAAGTATTATCGATATCGGATTCTAATATTAAAGCACCTAGTTCAAATCCGGCTCTGGTTACGAACAAAAAAGTATCATCGAAGAAAGCGGATCTCGCGGCAGCAGCTAAAACGCAAGGGAAGATCACCGAATATTTCAAAGCGCAGATGAAAGCCAACGGGATAAAGAAGGAGCTCTCTAATCTAATTACAAAACCAAACCCAACAAAAAATCCAAATTTGCACAAGTATTTTTCGCTGGTCGGGGGACTGAAACCAAACACGAATTTAAAAACGCAAAACCAACGTAAAATCGATGTGAGGACTGTACATACAGCGGTGAAAAAGATGGCTGTCAGTGCCAAAAGTAGAAAATTATCATCAGTTACTGTTCCTAGAAAAATTTTACCTGCCCCAAGCAAAGTATGTGATAAAGTTACAGTTAATAATTTAAACCACGTTAATGAAGTGAATACGTTCACACCCACAGTTACACTAACAACACTAGCACTTCCTCCAAATCTGGCCTATCTTCATACAAAAACACCAAAACCACCCGACAACTTCATTCTGCAACAGTTCACCACGTTGAGTAGTGATAAAATTAATACCATTCCACTAGTGAGTACGCCGTGTACGATGATTCATCCGCTTCAGAAGATCACCACCATAAACAACTTTAATTGTATTAAACTAAATGCGACGGTAGTGCCTATCGTGAAATTAAATACCTTGCCTTCAAAAATAAACGGGTCAAACTTTGCACTGAACGTCGATGCCGGTCTTCCCACGGTTATACCGACGAAACCCAAATTGAACGAGTGCAACGTTCCAACATTTATCAATTCTAACGTGACAGGGTGTAATACAAGCGTGAGCGCGTGTAAGGAAGTTAGGGTGGAAGAAACATCGCCTGCCAGTTCAGATAGTGGTATATCTTCGACGTGTAAAGAACAGCTAGAGATTTTGGTGAGCCAAAAACCTAGCGTCGAGTCTCAAAAGTCACCAATTTTGTCTCAGCCAAAGACAATCAGGTTTCCGGCTAAACAACAGGATAGCTCAGAGTGCAAGGAATCGCGAAGTTCGCATTCGAGCGATTCCACGTGTTGTCGGTGGGCCGAATGTCATTCGCAATTTGATACCAGTGGGGCCTTATTAGAACATCTACAGGTACTGTCTGCCAATTTCGGACGGTGTCTCATACTTTCGTTGTTGCAGATTAAACATGTGATATCGCAAGCAAGTCAAGAACACTACGTGTGCCTATGGCTGGGATGCAAAGTTCACGGGCGGACCTCATGTTCCCGCACTTGGTTGGAACGGCACGTTCTGGCCCATGCAGGGACGAAACCTTTCCGATGTATCGTGGAAGGTTGTGGTATGAGGTTTAACTCTCAGGTAGGTTATGATTCCAATCAGATTGTATTTTTACCGGGAAAGTCGAAGGGTAGTTTTCATTTCGATTTTAACTGTTGGTTGGAATGGTAAATTCAAATTAGAAATGTTGAGCACTCCTAGTGCAACTACCCCGCAACTTTACCGCGTAGCCCACTGTATTACGTAGCAGATTTCAAATTCGATATGAATAGTTTTAGAACTTGAAAATTGTGTCATAGCTTGGGGTTGATGGAATTTATTTTAGTTATCTCTTGAGAGGCACGTCAACGGCCATTTTAACACGGACGGTACGCAAAACGCGAACGCCAACAAAAAATCGGTTGACAACAATTCGGCGAAACTTTTTAAGCGCAACGGAAAGAAGATACGATTCAGGAGACAGCCTTGGTCAGGTAGGGTTCAAATTTGAGACGGCAAAATTTTTACTTTAAAAACTTGTTGTAAATGAGTAGAATATCTTTTTAACTGAATTATCTGCCAATCCTCAAAAACTGTAAGTTACTTAGATTGATGATTCATAATTCACAATTCATCTTCGTGGTTGCTTATTTTCGTGTTTTTAGCGCGCATGTTTGACTTTTTTGATAACGGAATTATGGAGGGATTGCAACATCAACTGCTAACCATGACGGAAACGCGAACGTTAGGACACAACGACTCTGTGCCGGGCGATAACATTCGACTGCACAGTGAGATACTGGCGAGAAGAATTGAAATTGATGGAAAGCGCAAGATACTGATACGTTGGAGACCGTCAAACATGTAAGTGTCAGCTATATTTATCTCCGTTTGCATTGTTTAGCATTAGAACCTCCAGAGTGGTTAGGGAAGGGATATCGCCCAATTTTTTATGTTGAAGGGGAAGGGGGGGGGGATGAAGAAATCTAAAACGGTTTTTTAATGTTTTATTTTCAATAAAAATGTATGGAATTAAAAACCACTAGCTTGGTTCTTCGCGCTTAATTATGATTGTGGATATGGTATGTTTAGGTCTTGTAAAGGCAGAGATTATATCTTTATTTTTAGTATTTCATTATGCTCCCCAAATTTGCATCAAAAATGCTAGGAGTTAATGGCCCTTTTTAAACCCATCTTTCAATCATAACAATTAACATCATCAGAGGAGTAAAAGACATACATGGACATGAATGTTGGTGCATTTCCAATGAAGCTGAGCAATTTTCGGATATTTGAAAGCGAATTTTGAATTAGGTTAGACAGGGATGATTTTTTACAGTCTATTTATAGGTTCTATTGGACTTTTCGAGTTTCTGATTTCTTACACATATTTCCTGGGCTTCTTCGACTTTTTACAAGTATTAATTCGCTCGACTTTCTAAACTCGATGGATTTATTTGACTTCTTCAGATGCTTGACTTCTCAAACTTTTTGCACTTACGTTTCGGGCAACAAGCACCCGAGAAATTAGGACGCATTGTTTTGTTTTTCCATACTGTTTCGATTTATGTATTCCTCCTAACCTTCCCATGTTCAGATTTTTGGATTTTTTCAGATTCAGATTCTTCTGTTTCTTCGTCTTCTTCATCTTCTTGAGCTTCTTCGGTTTTCTAGGTTTTTTTTTTGGATTCTTCGATCAATTTTTTGAGCTTCTTGAGCTTTTACAGATTCATAAACCTTCTTTGGTATCTTTGATGTTATCAGTTTTTGCTACTTAGAAGTTTCTCAAAGCAAATTTTACCAAAAAAAAATTAAACAAAAATACCCAGAAATAGCAATAAAACTGTAAGATTTCGTCAGTCAATCTGTATCATCAGCAAACAAATAAAAACGTGTTTTTTAATTAGTGGCTGACAATAGAGGCTTTGTTGCGGAAACGCGTACTTTTTATTGAAGTATTGTCGTGGTTGTTTGGGGCTTTTCTTTCAGTTTTTATTACTTTTACAGGCAAAAACAGTTAGTGTTTCCAAAGCAGCTTTTTAAACCTCATTTTGGATTTAAAGGCAATATTGCAAGAATTGTAGGAGATTTTTCCTATTCAGAGTTTTTAAGTGAAAATCTAGCTTTTTAAACACCTCTAACGTGGGATACGTGGTAATTTGTGGAATCTGTAAATAAAATCAAACAGTAAATCAACCTGGAAAGTACAACCATCGCAATGGATGTTATTTAAAACCGAATTTTCTTAAAAAAATTAGTAAATTTAAAACGGGGAGGAATTACACTTTTATATGCTGTTAGAAGGCAGACTCTGTGAATAAAGGAAAGGAGCTACACTTTTATATGCAGTGAAAGAGTACTTTGTGGACTATACACAAAATACCGTGACAATGGATGATTGTCATGGGGGAGCGAATTTTCTTAAAAAGTCAATGAAAATGGATACGGGGCTACACTTTTAAAATTTGTATTTTCCATTATTTTTTACAAAAAACAACTTCAGGGCTTTGGGATGAAGCTTTTGTATTGTTATTGATTAGGTGATGCGCAATGTACTTACTTTCCGCGGCAAGCCAAACTTTTTCAATTTGACGGTAATTTCCCTGCACGAGCCGCATATTTATAAACGGTAGACGCGTCCCCAGGCATGCGAAAATTGACCCTTCCTCACAACTATTTGGGAATGCGTACTCAGTTTAATAACGATTGAATAATAATGGTCCAATGGTAAGGAAACAAGGCTTGTTAGGTTATTTGTAAGTTTAAGATTGTCTTCTCAAATTGTTTGAAAAGCCAAGTTGTACAAAAATGCTGCGGACCGCGGTTTTTCCGAAGGGATAAAGCGTCTGCTATTTCCGAATATGCGCGCGGGCCATTTGATATTCGCGGACATATGGTTGATCAGGCCTGGTATAAACACATCATTAGTATCAGTTGCTAAACAGTCGTCCTGATCTGAAGGATTTAGGGTAGGGGTAGGCACGTATTTATTGAGGCATAGTTCCCAAAGAGTACAGTTTAGGCATTTGGTTTATTTGTTTGTTGTTTGTTTTTAAACTGAATGCATACTCTTTTAATTACAAATTGACGTTTTTGGAATTTTGGTTTTGTTTATCAACAAGTGTGCTCTTGCCTTATCTGCCCAGAAATTTTTTTTATTTCAATTCTTTGCTTAACTTCTCCAATATATTTTGATTTTTGAATTTTTTTCCTAATTGATTACTTTAGCGTCTTTCTTCTTCCTTCTGAATAATTTAGCACTTTTCTTCAATCTTTCCCAGCGATCCAATGCTAGACCAGTGCTTGTCAAATTTCTTTCCATGACGCCCTGAAAACTAAAATTGCTTACGCCCCCCTTCTCCAATTAAAAAATAAACCCTGCTTTTACTACATAAAACGTATTAAAAAAATTAATTAATTATTGAGTTTTTTTTTTCATTTTCACTATTGGGACTCATAAACTGTAAGCGTTTAAATGGGCAAAGTTATGCAGACTTTTATGCTGATTAATTCTAGAAATCACTTAGTGATTTTTTCTCAGCTTTCTGATGGCGCTGAAATAAAATTTTTGGGCCCGTAAAATATTATGTTTTTCAATCAAATTGGATATTGCAACCATAATATCAGTGGCTTTGGAGGTCGTTTTTAGTTGATTCGAGAACAGGATCTCTTCCCTGATATACCTACCTGTATAGCACCATTGATTGAAGTTTTATTAATTTTTTTTAGTGTATGTTTCAACTGTTCAAGTGTTTCCACTTATTAGACTTTTCTTACTAATCAACTGTGTCAACTTTAAACGTGTTTGAATGAAAACGTTACAATAATGTTTTTGGTTTAATCGTTTGGTTTGTTTGATACAGTAGATAAGCATGCGCAGAACTACTTACTTTCTAAGTACGCAGTTATAGATTTTAAATTTGGGCGTTTTTTTAGCTTACCGGACGAGTGGGTGCACGAAAAGGAATACAGTCCTTCGAAGGTGATCTCGATTCGACAGTTGCAACCGAACGCGTTAAACGAATTAAATCCAATTTTATTTCCACACCATTCCAAACGTCGGCATAAACAGCGTCGTAAACCTTCGAAGTGTACGTGATATAAAGCCATTAAATAAGTAATAGACAATGCTGTGGGAACATTTTTCATTTTTGTAACTATTCTGTTTATTGTGATTAATTTATTTATTTAAGTTTCTCGATTAATGCAAATATAGAAGAAATCATTGTAAGGGATCACTTTAATGTAAAATACGCATCGTTTGTGAGTCTTTCACATTGTACAGTAGGCTGTATGTATTGTAAGTATAGTAAGTTAGGTAAAGCACGGGAGACTACTCGATTGTTGGAAGTGCACGAGACTGTCCGACCGTTTTACAACCAGCCCTTAGACACTGCCATGTCACTGGTTATAGTTGTTAGTAATCGACTAGACTAGCGCAATTAACATAGTCACATACATTTTTAAGTTGTTTCATAGTGTACTTTGTATGTCGCATTTATTTATGCAACTGTTGCTTATTCTATTTAATTGTCAAATGGGAGCATCGCCGATCTGTGTACAATTCAAATTTACTCATTATACATAAGGCATTCCCCAAAGTCGTAACGGTGCTCTTGTTTGTCACCATTGCAACTCGAACTTGGAGTCGTTCCAACTGTAATTAACACGTTCGGGTTACTTTTATATGATTTAATGTAATTATATAAAGATGTGTGATTTTTTGAACTAGTATTTGTAATATGTACGTGTTTGTTTACGATTTCTTTTTTTTAAATTTAATTCATTTATTTGTAAGTACATAATCAATCACTGCCAATTGACTGCCAGAGAAAATGCAAAAATAGCAAATTAGAAAACTGCCATGATGTTTAGTTGCTTTTATTTTAAATAAAATTTTGTGTTAGCGGTGCCATCTTAATAGAATTTGACTCGCAAAGCGTAGAAATATCGATAACAGAACAATCTAGCGTATTTTGTGTAGTAAAATTTAATTTACTAGGTAAGCGTAAATAAATATTTATTTCTTATTAGTTATTTAGCTTAATCCTCTGTTATCGTATGCTTAATCGATTATTTTTTTAGTAACATTTTTTTGGGTTCATGGATTACTTTCAAAAAGTCATATTAAAATGTAGGTACTCTGACCAGTATTTGGTGCTGTATTATTAAATTATTCAAAACATTTGTCAAAAGATGCTGTACTTCTCTGTGTAAGTCTGACACAGTGTGGGGGGAATTTATGGGATCAATTTCTTTTGATAGTCATCTGCACCAACAAAATTACTGTTATTTTTTTAAGTATTTATCACTGTATAGTATATCGGATACCCTTATACCATGGGAATACCTGGAAAGGTTTAAATTTTCTACTTTTCATTGGCAGTGATGCAATTCCATACATTGAAAAGTACTGGAATAAGTACCTCATTGTTAAAAGATTCAAAATTACCAATAGATCAAAATTTAATGTACGAGCAGTAGTTACAAGTTGAACTAAGTCAGAATTGAACTTGTTTTAATATGACAAACATGAAAAGTAATTGACGTGGACCATCCACGTGGTGTGTTCATTGTATACTTTTATTAAATAATTTAAATAAGGCTTTTTTACCGTCTGTGACACACTTGATCTCTATAAATTTAGAAAAATGAAGTTGGACAGAATTCATTCCAAGAGATCATTTTGTTTAGTTTCACCAAAATCATCTATCCCTGTACTTAAGCTTGCAAAAACTCCATTTAGTTAGGCAAACTTGGAATGTTCCATTTGCTCATCGTTTTTAAAAAGAAAATAGACTGAAATAATTCGTTTCATTATTATTTATTTCCATAAATTGACTGACCTAGTTAATAATATTTTTAATTTCGACAGTTGGCTTCTTTACATGGTTGCTATTTGTAAAGTAGGTACGATCGTTTAGCGTAATCATACTTTCATTAATGTACACGACTACAAATATTAATCATTGATGTACAAAGAGCTTGTACAATAAATATTTTTACAATAGCAGTTCGATGGCAGAATCCCAATAAAATTGTAATGTAGTTCACAATTTAGGCTAGAAATATTTGTATCTACCGAGTGACTATATATTATATAAAATGCGAAAAGAATAATTTTATAAACTATTCTTTTACATTGCATTTAGAACTGTCTCAAAAATGAAAGACTGTTTCAAATGATATCAAATATCATGTAGGTAAATTAATTTTTGTTTTTTTGTCATTACTTTTAACATAAATATAATATTGGAGATTGTTCACGGTTTGCACATTGTTAAAACTAGGTAGAGCAAAGGATTTGGTACGAAGATGTCACTTTTTCGAATTTTAAATGCTTATATGGATGTATAACGTAGGCAAGTAATGCTATGGAATCATTACCAAAAATTATAATTGTTAAGTTGCAAACTCTTATTAACACATGTAGCATTCTTTTGTTGTTTTACACCGGTTATTCGATTATCCTCTTTGGTAATGGTTTCGTGGAAATGTTTGAATTTTATTATAAGTGTTAGTGGCTGATTAGAGTATTTTAATATAAAAGGAAGAAATGTGTAAAAAGCTTACTGAATGTTAATGAAAGTGTGACAAATAATTATTGATTAATGATTATTATAAAACCTTTATCCTAATTGGTGTCTTACATTAAATTTTTGTAGTAAAATGCGCGGACTAAATTCGGATCCGGCAGTTTACACTTGTTGGTTACTATAAAAATTTGTGTAGGGTGTAAATGTAACCAGCAAAAATTTCAAGATGGATTGGTAGAAATAGCACAAAATGTATTGATCGCTACATGTAGATATAAGGGATGGGAGAATGACCACCAATTAATGATTGATCAATTAATCAAATTGTCAATTATTTACATTATTTTAAACAAAATTTCGAGGGGTAATTTGATTAATATTGGAATCAAACGGACCGATTGATCCATGAGTTGATCTCACGATCAAATTGTGGATCGATTAAATCCAAGCTCTAGTATAGAGAGATCAGAATTGTTCGAAAACAATTTCCAATTACTGTTCACTTTTATGTATATATATTTGCTTAAGGATTTTACGTCCCATCAATTATTAACTCTATTATTATTATTATATTAACTTTTACAACCCTACAACCATCAGCGGCAAAAGTGAAATTTTTTATTTAAGGCTCTGTTTTTTTTTAATCAGAAACAAATTCTACCTCACTCAATTCTTAAAATAGTTTTGTTTTGTCAAGCCTTGTGTTGCAGAGTATTTAAATTAATTACATATTTTGTAATGATAAGTTTTGTAGCTCTCCCGCCTGTTGAATCAAAGACTGTATGTGGTAGTATTTGTCAAACATTCAATGGCAGATTGTTACTGCATTTATTAAATGTGATTCGACAGAATTTTCTACTTATATAATGTATCTATTCTATTGAAAATAAAATTGTAAATAATTTTTTGTTTAATTCCATTTCTTTGTTGAACAGAAAAGCTAACATTAAGAAAAGAAAGTTGTATCTTGGAAGAAACACACACTATGGGATCAGGTGAGTCCTTAATTTATTCAAAGCCACCATTCCAATATTCCCGAGTGGCTCTGCAATGTACATACCTACAACCAAGAGGGAGTGGTTCAAATGGGAGTTTTGGAGTAGATCTATGTGTGCTGGGTTGAATGAGTTGTTTTAGGATAAAAACTAACTAAGGGCAAAATAAAACGAGTTTACCTACAGGATGCCCACTGGCATTTTGTGGAAGAGTCTTGACTCTAATTTGTGATGGGAATGAACTACTATGTACTTTTTTTTTAGACAGTGCAAAGCGAAACCGCTTGCGAGTTCTGAGCACTCTTAAAAGTGCTCGAGCGGTTTATCGCGAGCGCTCCAGAAAAGTGCTCGTGAGTGGAAAAAACACTCAAGAGCGGAAAAAACCGCTCGGGAACGGAAAAAAAACGCTCGCGAGCGGCGCTTGAGGGCGGTTAAAAGCGCTCACGAGCGAAAAAAACGCTCAGGAGCGGGAAAAGCGCTGGGGAGCGGAAAAAAAAGCATTCGCGAGCGAAAAAAGAGCTTGCCAACGGAAAAAACGCTCATGAGCGGAAAAACCTCTCGTCTGCAGAAAAAAGCGCCGAGCACTTTAAATAAACGCTCGAGAATCGAGCACCAAGAATGTTTGGTCGAAACTTCAAACCGGAATATCTCGAGAACGGTGCGTCGTAGATATGCCTTCCAACCCCTCGTTGGAAAGGTCTCGACCAGGGCTATCGATTGGCGCTGTCAGAATTTTTGGTAAAAAAGGAAGGTTATACACTGCCTTTTTTTTGCCCAAAAAAGATTGTCAGATCGACCGGAATATTTTATTATAGAATGTGGCCTGTAGAATCCATAATTTCAAACAGTTCCAAGATCGGGCTACTAGATCAAAAGTTACAGCCCTTTGAATTTTTTGTCGAAATTGGTTTTTTGCCTATAACTTTTGATTGAGACGTCTAATCGAAAAAGTAGGAATCGTTTTGGATTCTACGCACCAAAATTAATAAAAAAAGTTTTTTCCCGAGAAATTTTGGTGCAGTCGATTTTTGGTAAAAAAGGAAGGTTAATTTTTTGGCCCGAAAAAAAAATTGTCTCAGATCGACCGGAAAATTCTGACGCCTCGGTTTACAAACTTCAACCACGTCCGTTATTTGCTACATATCGGCCTTATGACGTTAATAACTATAATAACGAATTTCTCTATTTTTTGTTTATCAACCACCTACATAATTGTCGTACAGCAAATTGATTGCTCTTTTCAAATATTGTAAAAAAACCTAGACACTGCATTTAAGAAACAAAAGTTACATCGATTTCAGGTTAAACTGGAAGTGATACCGGAAATTGTGACAATGCGATCGGATGATAAATCGTAATTTCATATGTACAGCGTCGCTGATAAGCCTGGAAACGGTCGATTATCGGCGAAAATATAGAGGATATCGCAATAAGTTTTATACACAAGTTTTGTGGTTCTTCAAAGTCTACTAGGCAGTAATAATTTTAGTTATACAGGGTTGCTCATAAAGGCGCGGCACACCAAAATTGCATTTTTTAAAAAGACCCTGTATACTTTTCAATATTTCAATTCTTTTATCAATTTTAAGCAAAATTTGTAATAAGCATAATCCACATAAATTCAATCGTTTCCGGGCTATCGAGTTTTGAAAATATTAATACATAAAATAAACAATTTCTTAAAACAGTTAAAAGGTTATGCTTAATCCGGCCCTGGGAATGAGAAGCGCCCAGTAGATTTCATATGCGTTTGTTCACCTACTGGCAGAGGAGGAATTGATGGGCGGCAACCTGGTACAATACATCCACTTGAAATTCAGCCCTCGCAAATTGAAGCACAGATGAATGTAGACGTATAGGGGAGAAGAATGCTGAAATGAATTTTTCACACTACAGACACACATAATATACGTTCTAGGAACCGAATGTATGAAGAGTGGTAGAAGTCCAACCCAAGGTCTCTGACTCAGGCGCAAAGCAATTGAAGCAATTGAATTTAAACTACCCACCTGCCATTCAACATACGAACAATTTAAACAAAACATGAATTGTGCTATAGGAAATTGCAAAAGCTTTGGTTTTGCATAATATAACATTTTTGCAGACTTATTGGTATTTAGAATTTAGACCAAAGTAGAATTTATAATTAAGTATACATACCCTAGCGTAGACGTGTTCTATTTATAAAGATTTTGTTTTTTGGTTTAGAATATGTATTTATTTTTTATGTTTAAGATAATAAACAGACCGATTATTAACTCATTTATTATAAGAAAGCTACAAGTACTACTAACAGTAATGACAAAATTTCGTGGCACAGTTGTACGTATTGCCCGAGTCCATCTATTGGATCCACAGGTTTCGAAATACTAAGCTCCACTGACAAAATTTCGCATAAATCGTGTATGTGTTTGTCAATGCATGGGCAATCCGGAAAAAGACATTCTTCTTCACAAATTTGTAAGTTTTGTTCTCGAATTTGTATTTGTATCTCTAGCATCGTGTATTTGGTATTTCTGGAAAATTAAAGAGCACATCCGGTCGTCCGGGAGGACAAATGCTACGCCGCGCCGGTTTCTGCGGATGAGATGGCTATTCCATTCCAAAGCAACACTGTTCAATTCTTCCTAGAATTATGTAAAGAAACAAGCTGAAAACAAACTACCTACTTACTTGAATAAGGTGCATAAAGCAGTACTGCAAAATAGATTTGTCCACAAAATTACCCGTGAACTGTCCTTCGTTTCTCAACTGCGAAAACAAATTCATCCAGTACTGGCTATTACATCATCTATGGAACTATAGATTTTCCGGCGGTATAAGTTTAAACGTATTCGTCTCTTTAAAGAAGATTTACTTAAACAAAACCCTTCGTTCAAGAGACATAGTAACATTTCATCTTGTTTAAAGCCCAAATGAAATAAAATAATAATTGCTTCATGTATCTGTTCCATGTTTGTCACTAACAAGCATCACGTATGCCGAATACACCTATACACGATACTGAAATGAAGGTACCTACAACTAAAGACGATGAGTTGAATTTATCTCAAACGTTTGAATTTTTATTTTATCTCAAATATTTGACTTAAAAATGTCAAATAATAGGTTGTGCATGCAAATACTTTCTTATTTGTAAACGAATTTTTTGAAATTTTAAGAAAGGAAGGAAGGAATGAATGAAATGCAAATCAATAATATATTATATATTATAATAATAAATTGTACATACACAAAGTAAAAACATGTAGGTACATAAACCAATTATTGTGTATGCTCAGACCCACATTTGTTATTTGTGAACCAATCCTTCTAAAATTTTAGGGTTTGCGGACAAAGACTGTTAATGTGGAAATTGGCTACTTATTTGTAAATCGTTTACGATTACTTTTTTAACTTGTTTTGTGGAATGAGACTATGGGCGGCTAATGTTCTACAGTCAGGGGTACTACGTCGGACCGAATAGACGGGAAAATTACGGGATGCCGGAGAAATTTCTGCGGAAATCTTTTAATAGTCTTCTGGGGTTTCTAGAAATAGAGTGTGTCCAAGATAAGGATGTTTATCATGGGGATTTCGGAAAAAATAGAAGACTCGATAGTCAAAAACTCAAAATAGAGAAAAGTTGCTCAATTAAAGAGTTATAGTTATCATGCTGTAAACAAAGCCAGAAAGTTTGGAATATTTCCGCAGATATGCGGAAATTTGCCAATTTTTTATATCAAACGTTTGACTTTTTATCTTAAATATTTGACTTAAAAAAAACTTGGATGACCCTTCAGTATGGTACAGGGTTAAAAAAAAGGCGAAATATTGTAAAATGTTATTAATCCATAATATAAGGGTTGCTGAGAGCTCCTCTTCGCCATACTACCCAAACAAATTTTTCCATCATCGTTTCATTCGGTATCAGTTTTTCCACAAAACTGCAAATTTAAAAAAAAAGTGATAACCATTCGAAATCTGATACCTGCAACTCGCAAAGCGTTCGTGCTCGGATCTACCTGAAACTCGTTTATACATCGCGCTTATGTATTATTCGAACCGGCATTTCTACCATCAGTTCTTCGCAAACAACCGCAAGTGATACGTATTAGCGGTACTTTTTCTTGGGCAACTGTCAAATGCTAATTATCGATAAATAGTGTTGTGCGTCTTGTGGATTTTTCGCGTCCTTTTGGTTTACCGGAATTTATTGGACCGGCGATCAATTCTCAATTTAAAGGTAGGAATAAAAATTAAAACTTAGTTCTGAAATTTAAATGTAACTTTTTTGAATGTAACCCCTAATGGTGCCCACGACCAAGACCAAGGCAGTCGAATTTTGATTTTAGAAGGATCGACATTTGACCAAACATAGTTTTCATTTAAATTCGCTGAAAGGGCGGTATTTTAATTTTCAATTAGATGTTAACCAACTCTCTCCCTTCTGATATTTCATGTTTTGCCCCATTTCCTTTGACTTCATTTA